GAAATCGACTTGGGCTCTTTTCCCAGCAGCTGGAGGCAGATGTTTTCCACTTGATCTTACTCTCTCACTCAGTTTTGAGCTGGGGGAACAAGGGAAAACGAAGAGAAGAAAAGTAGGAAGAAGTTGGATCTGGTGCAAGAAAAGGGAAGAGAAAGAAAGAAAATAATAAAAAAGAAAGGAAGAAGGCGTTTGGCATTGGGAAACTGCAAATAACCGCTGGGGCCAATTATGACACGTCGTCATTTTGCACGCGGGAAGAAGAGAAGTTCTCTACAAATACAAATCTGATTTTTTGGGTCGGGTTTAATTATTCGGCCCATTCCAGCACCTGTCCTGTTTCAAATATCCTTCCAGCACCTGCCATGTTTTCAAACATCCTTCCAGCACATGCCCTATTTCAAGCATTCTTCCAATATCTAGCCATATTGTGGCACGATATCACCTTCATTGAAGTTTTGTCCTCTAAATTCAAAGTGTTCGGAGGCTGGTGCTGTAAAATCAAACACAATGGTGAATCCAAGCTTATTGCATCCGCAACTCTAAGATTGGATCCCCACTATCCACTAGCACGTCCGGCTACTGTCAAATGACATCCACCATGCTAAATGTCCCAAAAGCCATATTAAACCATGCTACCTTAGCCAAACTCAAGCAAATAAATCATGCGAGCTAAGTAGTTATCTTGAGCTAATCCACCAATCATTTTCTTCTATATCATGGCACAAAATAAGGTCAACTCTTGGTAACTCTAGTAAGTGACCTCCAAAATTACAGTGTCTAGGAAAGTTCTTCAAGGCAACACCCTCGGTGTTTAAGAAGGATTGGGTTTTAAGCGGGACCATTGTGACCCCTCCAACCTTCCCAGAAAAGACCTGGCTGTAATTTCAGAGACTCTTAACCTGTTATCCTTGAGTTGCTCCTAAACCCATGCCATGCCATGCCACGGTAATTTATTCTGGGCTGAAAATTGATTATTCGGACCATTTCAATACACATTCATGGCCCCAATAATCAACGGGGCTGATGTTGAGGCCCAAAATATTCACGGTTCAGCCCAAATAAATTCTCGGCCAAATGCTGCTTTACCAAGAAGAAACCCGATTTGGGCATGCGAAAGTTCATCATATGCGCTTGCACACATGCCACGCCAAACGACACGCCACGCTAAGCAAGGAATTATCATTCCGCACCTAATCACGCCAC